GAAGCGTGTGTGCTAATAACTTCGAAAGGCTCGTATTCCTTACAATAATAAAAATATTCATTAGCCTTTGCCGGGCTTATAAATGATCGTGAACTTCCTGTGTCGATCATAAATTTTGCGTTTATTTCGGGGATTTCGATGTATGGTAATTTTAATCTAGGGTCAGAATAATTAATATGGATTATTTCGGGTTTTTGTTCGAGGCTTTCATGGGAAAATTTTCGTCATCTGTTAATAGAGATTCATCCTGTTCGTCATAAGAATTAATATTTTCATCGTAATCATTTTGTTCTAATTGGTACTGTTCTGGGTAATATTCGTTATACTCGTCAAAGTAATATTCACTTTCATCATAAGGAATGTCGTCTTTTATGTTGTACAATTGATTCATGCGAAAAGCTTGAGGCTTAATGGGGGGTGCGGTACGCATGCTAACGTCCGTTGTCTGTGTTTTGGGTTGGAATTGTGGTTTTAGCAAATGAGGTGGTGGTCTATAACCAATAGGTTGCGAATTTAAGTTGGGTTTATATCCAGATTGTTGTTGAGGTAATCTAACTTGCTTACTTGGAGTAATACCAAATTTAAATTTAGGTTGTGTTTGTGATTGATATATCGGTTTCGTGTTATATGTTGTGTGTGTATGTGGAATACCGAATTTAAAATTAGGCTGTGAATGTTGCGCCTGGTAAATAGGTTTCGTTTGTAAGTTGTCTTGTTGTGGTATTCCGAATTTAAAATTACTTTGTTGTGTATTTTGAGAAAAGAAAGGTTTCATTACATTTTTGTCTATGAAAGGATTTTGTGTGATTAGTTGCGGCTTTTGTTGCGCGTTATTAGGTAATCGAAGCATTTTATTTCTAGTTTGGTACTGATATAAGAAATTCACTTCTTCTAAAACAATGCTTAGGGCATCTTCAAGTGAGTTGCATCCTTTTAATCGCACTATGCGTAATAAATCTTCTGGTAAATTATAGAGAAATACGTTCATTGACATGTGATCGTAAATGGTGATTTTACTTTTGCGCAGATTTACGTTACTAATTCGGTTTACTTTTGCAAACAGTGTACTTTTAATATGCTGTATTCTATTACAAAAATCAAGATAAGATTCGCCATTGTTAATTTTTAAAGTTTCTAATTCAATCGCGATACATTCTTCGGAACGTGGATCACCGAAATGTTGTTCGAAAGCTAATTTAAGTTCATTCCATGTCTCAATGTCTGGTCTTTCACTTATTAATGTTGCTGCTTTGCCTGTTAGTTTGGATGTAATGACTTGGAATATATATAGGTCTTGTTCTAAATTACCTGCTTCTCTACTTAATTTAATAACATATTCACTTTTTCTAATAAAAAGATTGAACAAACTTTCATCACCGTCGAATTTGGGGATGATTCCTGAAAATTCTTTGGGAATCTGTGTGATCTTAGTCATTTTTATTTATTTAATAATATTTAAAAGTTTAATAAAATTTTCTTTCAAAATGTTCTTATATACTAATTAAAAGAAATATATAGTGCAAATCGATTTTTGGAAAGTACACTACGTATCTCTAGACACTTATAATTAATGTGGAATAGGATTGGATAAAATCAGATGGAATAGCGATAGAGTCTACTCACATGCTGTCCATGTCCCTCCTGGTGAGTCTTAATCTGGAGCTCTGCCTTGGCCTGCCGTTCTTCTTGACGAATTTGTTTGGTTCGAGGATTCTCGTATGAAAACGTTAGAAAACGCTCGTCGAATTTTTCTGATTTTGAGTAAAATGCGACGCGAAAATCCTACCGGCTGCGCCAGTCAAGTGTTGTGGGAGCCGGAAGGCCTTTTAAAAA